ATGAGGTGAGTACAAAAATAATCAATATGCAACCTACTTGTAGACTCTCATAATATCTTATCCTAATAAGTTACCACGAGGTTTTCTCTAGGATTTAGAAAATTCAGGCCTAGTTCTATAGCTAGCTGCGGAAGACCTCAAAGTTTTGAATGATTATTTTACTTCTTATGAACCCACTTTAGGTCTAAACGTAGTTCACTCATTTCTAGCATTGCAAATTTACTAGACGACGAGTCAGAGCTCATGGTGAACTAACTTTACAGTTCTCCTGACTATTCAGTTTGTATGGCCATAACAATGAATGTCCGACATCCTTGGTTGAGATGCGACCTCATAAAATCTATTAAGATAGTATGATATCTAGCTAGTCTGAACATCATCTATAGAAGGTTAGTTGGTGACCCTTCCACAGAGCCATTAGAATCATGCTGAATGTGGGGGTAGAGACCCCATACTTGGCTAACTACTAGGTTACTTGCATGGTTCCACTCCACCTCTCATGACGGGTTTACAATGCAAAGGTCCTTTTCAGGAGACCCCATACCTGGCCTCAACGCACTACCCTATTCAGTCTAGGCCTAGCTTCACTGGACCTCTCTTGGGGGCTTACCACTTGATAGAGACGCTATTGAGTTCGACCTAGGTAGCTATAACGCCACAAGGTGTCGGAGAGAATGGAGGACAGAAACTCTAATGATACTGTTCACACTCCTATTAAGCATATTAAGCCTTTTTAGTCATCTTTTCCATGGAGGTTTACTCAATTCTTAGGGCTTATAGGTGGTTCATTTTCAGGATGCTCGAGACTAGCTCTTCAGGGCATATCCAATCACTTGGAGAATTAAAGTCTATACCATTGATCGACATGTTTTCCTGAGTTTGAGTTTTTGCTTGCTAGGAGCTCCATTTTTTTAAAAAAGTTTCTTTGATAAGATATAATTCAAGTCAAAACAAGGTCATTATCAAAATTGGGGTGAAAAACTAACGATAGAGAGTCAAAATGGACTAAAATATCAAACTCAAGCAATGCCCACCCATTAGCTTTCATGCACATAACCCACACACAAATATAGACACACCTAAGCGGGGAGCAGTCGCACTCTCACTATGCCACACATCACTCATTGGTTGTCGCTTCCATGTCGGGTCTGGCCAAAGCATGGGTAGTCCGAGTTGGTTTGATCAGTTCTTTTCGAAGCGGGTAGCAGATTAGGTCATGGTTTACTTATTGAGTTGGGTCACTTCACTAATCGTGCACACCAATCAAATGTCAAAACCTTCCTCTTTCATTGGCCACCATGTGTCTCTGCCGATGCTCGACGTGCATCATCCCCTCTTCTAGAAGCGTGTTCACTGTGATTTGATTCTTGGTCAGTTTTATAAATTTAAGTAGTTTTTTCCTATTTTCTTTAGAGTTTCATAACGTTAACTAGACAGAGAAACAATTGCATGCGTAGTTGGCCAAATTCAGACTCTCTGCCACTAGTTAGGGTGGATGATGATTTCTCCTTCCTCTCAGTCCAATCCTTAACTTCTTTTTCTTTTTCTTCTTTATTTTCTTTACTTATTCGTTAATTGGTCACTTACAAACCCCTCATTTGAAAAGAGAGTCCAAATGACCATTTTGCCTTTTGGGTTGACTTTTACATTTTTCCTCTTTTTTGTGATTTTTTTTTTCTCTTCTAGATTATTTTTATTTTGAAATTTAGTCGTTAAAACTCTTAATTAATTTTAGAAGATAGAACTTCTAAGAAAAATTAGTATTTAATTCTCGTCCGGCTCGAGTGTTATAATAAGACATAATCTTTATAAAGTTCCAACATATGAGGAGTGTTATAAAAACATGAATGGGTACTGAAAATGACATGAATTTAGCTAGCAACTCCTTAACAGGATCATAATGACATACTAAAATTTTGGTGGAGCGGCATCGCAAGCCTCTCAACTATTGAGTACCCATGTGACCCCATGTATAATGATCCTACTTTTTCATTTAAAAATAAGGCCATATTATAACTTATAACATGATGGTGGAAAATCATTTAAAATAGTTTGCTTTTACATGGACTTAAATATTCACTTTATTTCAAATTTAAATGTAAAATCAAAGAAATAGCCTAATTGAAAATAGGGAAAACAACCTCTCCTATCAAAGTTTGAAAGGAATGCAATTGCCCTGTCCTAACCCGAGAGTTATGACTTAAATTCAGAAATTCATCTCTATCTTGATTTTATTCCCATTGCCTACATAGGTGACACAATATTAGTACATGAGAGCCTTATCTTTATCTAAAAAATTAATAAACATGATTTCGGTATTTAAAAATAGTCAATAAGTAAACCTCCTTTTTGGGTGAAAAAATGTCATCACAAGCAATCATGATTCATGGTTGGACTTGTCATGTTGTGATTGTTTTTTGGGCTTTACTTTCTGTTCTGGTAGGGTCGAACGTGTAATACTTTTTTTATGTACGGTTCATGCAGCGAGCTTGTCTACATACTCCTGAGGCTTGATTACGGGCTAGTGCACACTCACGCTTCTGAAAATCATTAGTATGAAAGGAGTGCATGACATATCATGGATACGTGTCCGTACAAAAATATGCTGGAGAAGTATTCCATACTTATGACATACAACATGCATGAGGTCTTGCATTCTAAATCATAGTTCATATTTATGATGCATATCATACATCCATACTTTTTTAACATAATCTTCCTATGAGAAATACATACATGAACATGGCATATCATTCATTCTTAACATGCTTGACTCATCGAATGTCTCATAGGCATAACATAAACATGGTATCATAATATACATGACATAACATTCTAGAAGTACATGTGTAACAGCCCAAGCCCACCGCTAGCGGATATTTTCCTCTTTGGGCTTTCCCTCTGGGCTTACCCTCAGGGTTTTTCTTCGGGCTTTCCCTTTCGGGCTTCCCCTCAGGGTTTTAAAACACATCTACAAGGGAGAAGTTTCTACACCCTTATAAGGAATATTTCATTCACCTCTCTAGCCGATATGGAATCTATGTCCATGCTGGCACAGATATTTTTTTTGTATAAGCACAAGTCCACCGCTAGCGGATATTATCCTCTTTGGCCTTCCCTTCAAGGTTTTAAAACGAGTCTGCTAGGGAGAGGTTTCCACACCCTTATATGGAATGCTTCGTTCTCCTCTCCAACCGATGTGGGATCTTACTTCATGCATCACATGATACTCATAAACATTACATAATCATAAAAACATCACATAACCATAATAAACATCACATAATCATAATAAAACATATCATAACATCAAAAGATGACATGTAAATGAGTCACAGTGTCATTCATACAACACTAAGTCATCCAACCATGCCCATAGGCATTCCAATAGTGTAATTCTTTTTACTTGGTTGACCTAAAATACCAAAATCCTAAGACTCAGAAACCCCGGACCTCCCAAGGTACAACAAGTTCATGACTTAGATTGCAATGATGGAACATAAAAAGGTCTTGGATGCAGGTTTAGACTATGCTGCTTGGAACGTATGAAACCTTGGATACATGTATTCAGAGTAAGCTGCTTGGAAGGTATGAAACCTTGGGCATAGTTTTTAGATTATGTAGCAAGAAATGCATGAAATCCTGGATACAAGTTCAGACTACACCACTTTGAATGCATGAAGCCTTGAACGTAGGTTTAGACTGTATCGCTTGGATCGCATGAAGCCTTGGATATAAGTTGTCAGGTTTATATCTTGTACTATAAATCCTAGGAGGAGTATGTTAGAGAACAAAACGAGAAAAAAGAACAAGAGCTAACCAAGAACAAGATTAAGGAAAAGGACTAGAACTAAGGACCATGGATGAGGACTAGAACATGGATCTAGATCCAAGTTCTTAGAACTAAGAACCTAGAACCTCATAGCTAAGAGATAAGAGCTCAAAGCTAAGACCCTTAAGATAGAGCCAAGGTTAAGAACTCATAACTCAAGACCAAGGTCCTTGGACTACCATGATAAAAACTCAAGAACAAAACTCAAGAACCTAAGTTCTTAGGTCAAGAATAAGAACATGACAAGAAATATTGTGGTATCCTAGTACACCTTAATGACAAGATTAAGAGCCTACAAATAGGCTACTTATTGAGTCATTGAACTTACTCAAATTCTCTCATGTCTTTTAGATTACAAGGAGGTGGTGGATGATGGACACGGACTTGGAACAGGTGCCATACAAAGCTATACTACTTTCAAATGCTTTAACATTAATGTTTTTTTTGTTTACTAGACCCAATGTATTCAAACTTTACTATGGATGTGTGTATAAAATATATTTATGCTTTGTTTTAAATGAAAAAAATTTTATCGTCATATTTCAGTTAGTATTTAATGTTTTCAAGTCAGTTGCGACTTGTGAAAATCTGGTGGTGACATTTAACTGCCTAAATTCTTATAATAACCTAGTAGATCTCCATAACATCCATGAATGATTAAGGTAGCTTAAGGCTGTTAATAACATGAATGATGTCACTAGAATTATAAGGATTCGAAAAAATAAAAATTTCAGTCCCCAAAATTTTCGTAACTCCAACCGAACCACGACACCTCAGCCCGTACTAGAATACCCTACAAGAGAAAATTTTGAGTAATAGAGAGAAAACAGAAGGGGGGGAGGGGCGGAAGACGAAAGATGATTTTTGGTTTTCTGACAAGCATGATGCCGACAAGACATGATGACCCTCCGGAGTATGCTACCACGAACGATGCATAAGTAGGGACAAGGGAGTGACAACTTGAGGTAAATAGAAAGCAAAACGTCGTGTTCTCGTCTCTTCATCGGCAAAGTTCAAATCCATGGAAACTAAAATCAATGGATCTATGGTTTAGACAATTATGAGGTCCTATGATGTCATGAGGATGGAAGGAAGATTGGTACGATGTCTCACCGGTTAGATATTAGAGAGAATAACGGTGGAATATGGTCGCCAGGAGAAAGAGAAAGGAGATCTAAAAAACTTGTGAATTCGGGCGAAGAAGACAACATGTTGGGTCGGGTCGAACTCGGGTAACTCGTGATCCCACTATTGTTTAACCAATCAGCAGCATCGGGTCCAGCAATAGAACACGACGTGTTGAAGGCTTCAACAAGGTGAGCATGAGAAGAATCAAGTCGAGCATACCGTTGGTTGCAGCGGTCAGCATAATGGCCCTCTTTGTGGCATATTTGGCAGTGAGGTGGTTGATGGCCCTGACCTGAGTGGGTTCGTCCTCGATTGGAAGAGTTGTTTTTGTGAGAATAAGAATGACCTCGCCAATTGCTAAAGAAAGCAGGGTGGCTTCCATGGGTGAGACCATGATTAGTGGTTGTGAATGCTGTAGGAGTGGCGTCAGAGGACTCAAGGGAGCACTGGAACAACTCAAAACTTTCAACTTTAGAGACTAAATCTGCAAAACAGTGGATAGGGGTGAGAGCCATTTGAGCAGTAGAAAAAGTTGAAAATTCGGTGCCGAGTCCACGAAGGAACCAGTGCACTTTATCAATGTCCTCAACAGGTCTACCAATAGCATGAAGTTGGTCACAAATTGTTTTGAAGACACGGGCATACTCAGCAACAGGTTTGGTGCCACGTTTCATCAGCTGCAAGTCATCCTTGAATCTCAGTTCACGAGCTTTCGAATGATGGTTGAACATAGTTTCCAACGCAAGCCAAATATCACGTGCAGTAGAGAGACCAACGACAATAGCCATGGCTTCCTCGGTGAGAGAGGAGATCAGGAGACAGAGAAGTCGTTGATCGGTTGCTCTCCATGTTAAATATTTGGGGTTGAGTGTTGAGGAGGTTTCTTGTTCAAAGCGAGGTGGTGGAACCATAGTTTCATCAACATAGCACAAATGTCTTGACTCTTAAGAAGAGGGAGAAGTTGACTTTTTCAAAGAAGATAATTGGAGGAAGAAAGTTTGATGGTGATCATTGTTGACTTCTGGCAATTGAGAGGAAAACGTGGATGGAAAAAAAACTGACCGAAGGAAAATTTCTTCGAAGAAAAAAATAATGGAAAGTAAAAAGAGAGAGAGAGAGAGATTTGCTGAAGACTCGATGATCGATTTCCCATTCAGTTGAATACTTTAAATAACAACTTTAATCCTAAAAATGAAAATTAGTGCCCAAAAACTTGGGCCCAAAGTTGGCCAAAATGGCCAGCAAAAATTTCACTCTTCCATTCAACGGGGAGCGTTAATTCAGATTTTTCAAAAGTAATAAACAGCTAACGAAATCTAAGAAAACCATAGCTTTTATTTAACAATCTCCTCCTAAAAGCTGTGGTCTATCTACCTTATTATTTGAACTCTGATCTTTGAGCGTAGTTCTTCAAATGTTACTCACGCCAGGGACTTGGTGAAAAAAGTCTCCAAGTTGTTCCTCTGTTCGGATGAAATTAATCTTGATGAGCCCTTGATCTGCACATTCTCGGATGTAGTGGAATCTGATTTCTATGTGCTTTCTCCAATCATGCAGAACTGGATTTTTGATCAGGGAGATCGTAGCTTTGTTGTCCATGTATAGCATTGGTGGATCCCTTTCTCTTTCGATGAGTTCTTCCATTAGTCGCGCAAGCTAGACCCCCTGTGTTGCCGCCGTCGAAGCGGCGATGTATTCTGCTTTGCAGGAAGACAAAGCAACTACCTTTTGTTTTGTTGATTGCTAGTAGATCGCGCAACCTCAGAGAAAATAGATCATCCCGCTGGTGCTCTTACGATTATCAACGTCACCGGCCATATAACTATCATTGTAGCCGACCAACTCAAGCTTCGTCTTTCCTTTCCTTGTGCTGTATCTCACACCCCAGCCTCTAGTTCTAGTCACATAGCATAGGATGCGCTTGACGACCACAAGATGCTCCTCCCGAGGTGCTTCCATGAATCTACTCACATATCCAACTGAGTAAGCAAGGTCAGGGCATGTGTTTACCAGATAGCGCAGGCTCCCGACAATGCTGCAGTAATTGGTGGCGTCGACTGTCGTCGTAGTGTCGGTCTTCCTTAGTTGCAGCTGGGCCTCCATTGGTATCCTTGTAGGGTTACTGTCCGCAAGCCCAGTTGTATTCAGCAGCTTCTTCGCGTATGCACTTTGGCAGATGGTGACGCCGGTAGTACTCTGTTGCATTTCGATGCCGAGGTAGTAGCTGAGTACGCCTAGATCGCTCATCTTGAAGTTCTTTGACATCTCCTTCTTGAACCTTCTGAGGACTTTCATGTCGCCTCCAGTGGTTATGAGGTCGTCGACGTACACTCAATCAGTCGCTGCTCGCCGTGGCCGTGCGTGTACATGCCATGCTTAGAGGCACAACGCTTGAACTTTAGTGACAATAGGGTACTGTCGAGCTTCCGTTCTAGGCTCATGGTGATTTTCGAAGCCTGTAGAGTGCCTTGTGTAGGCATAGTACCTTACCGGAGTTGTCGTTGTCCAGGAAGCCAGGTGGTTGTCGGACGTAGACGGTCTTCTTTAGCTCTCCGTTAAGGAAGCGTACTTCACGTCCATGTGGTGGACCTCCCAAGAGCAATGTGCCGCGATTGCCAGCAAAAGGCGGATGGATTCTAACTTTGCCACTGGCGCAAATACCTCTTCGAAGTCCACTCCTTGCTTCTAGACGTAGCTCTTCGCCACCAGACGGGCCTTGTGCTTCACAACTTCTACCTTTTCGTTGCGCTTCAGTTTGAAGACCCATTTGAGCCCACGTCTGGTTCTTGGTGTTTTAGGGGGTGCAGTTGCTGGCGGCGGTGATGGTTCATGATGCTGAGCTCCTTCTTCTTCCGGCTCGGTGACGAGGTACTTCACTGTTTTGGATTGTGCTCTTCCTTGATCACGTCGTTCCACTGCCAGAAGGTGCTTTCATCGAAGATGACGTCGCGAGACACGTGAGCTCGCCCCCCGCAGGATCATATAGAGTATGTACGCCTTGCTCTCGAGTTCATAGCTGATGAAGACAACTTTCAGCCTCCTGGGATCGAGCTTGGCGAGGTGGAGACGTGCTACCTTCATGTATGCAACACAGCCGGACACTCGGAGATGATGTACCCATGATCGACATCCAACGTCGAATCCGCAGTCCGTGGTGTTGCGGACTCAACTGGTTCAAGGGGTGCAGTTTGTGACGGCGCTGACGATTTCTAATGCTGGGCTCCTCCTTCTTCCAGCTCGGTGATGAGGTACTCCACCGTTTTGGGTTGTGCTCTTCCTCGATCACGTCGTTCCACTGCNGTACTTCACTGTTTTGGGTTGTGCTCTTCCTCGATCACGTCGTTCCACTGCTAGAAGGTGCTTTCATCGAAGATGACGTCGTGAGACACGTGAGCTCGCCCCCCGCAGGATCATATAGAGTATGTACGCCTTGCTCCAGAGTTCGTAGCCGATGAAGATAACTTTCAGCCTCCTGGGATCGAGCTTGGCAAGGTGGGGACGTGCTACCTTCATGTATGCAACGCAGCCGAACACTCGGAGATGATGTACCCGTGATCGACATCTAACGTCGAATCCGCAGTCCGTGGTGTTGCAGACTCAACTAGTTCAGAGGGTGCAGTTGCTGGCGGCAGTATGATGTACCCGTGATCGACATCCAACGTCGAATCCACAATCCGTGGTGTTGCGGACTCAACTGGTTTAGGGGGTGTAGCTGCTGGCGGCAGTGACGGTTCCTGATGCTTCTTCTTCTAGCTCGGTGACGAGGTATTCCAACAGTGAATTGAGTTGGGTTGTGCTCTTCTTTGATCATGTCGTTCCACTGCCAGAAGGTGCATCATCGAGGCAATCCGTGGTGTTGCGAACTCAACTGGTTCAGGGGGTGCAGCTGCTGGCTAACGGCAGTGAAGGTCCCTGATGCTGGGTGTCACGGTCATGCTCGACCAAGGCGTGTTGCCCATGGCCGCATGCCCATGACAAGCCCAACCCTTTATGTCTTTTCATATTCTAGTGTTTTACTTTTATATTTCTAGGAAGTGTGACGTTTCAGAAATAGCATATGTAAGCCTGTCAGACATGAAATGCCTCAAAATGTACTATAGGGGGATATGACTAGTTGTCAACTTCTTCCTACCCAAGATTATACACTAGAAGTTTTTGTTATTTCTCTCTTGCTTGCTTATATAACGTCTCTTTCGAAAATCTCTCTTTCGAAAATCTCTCTCTGCCCTCACTTTCTAAAACCTTCTCTTAAAACCGAGCCAGAGGCTCGAGCATACGTTGCTTGGCCGTAGGCGACGCAAGAACGAATTGGCTTAGCTCACTTGTTGTTGGAAAGTGAGTGCCGCACACTCGCAAGTCCGCTGCCATTAAAACTGCGATTGTGACAAGTGGTATCAGAGCTTTGTAAGCTCCGTGAAATAGCAAAGACCGAGAACATGTTGGCGACAAAGTCGACACCCAAAGCACAAACCGACCGACTTACCTTAATAGAGGAGGAAATGTTGTTCCTCAAAGAAGTCCTTGACACTATCCGCTTCCTGGAAGCATGGGTGACGGAATTGAATAGAAAAGTCATAGAAATCGACGCAATGGGTAACCGCTTGGATGGGTTGCCAATCGCAGAACTGATGTTTCGAGTGACCTCACTCGAAGAAAAAGTTGCTCCTACGAGCAGCCCAAGACCATCTAGTAGCCCCGATAACTCTGTCGCACACAAGGAGGGACGTGGTAAAGAGTTCGACATGCTACAAAATACAATGATGAGTTTGTTCAATGGATTAGCTGACGAATTCAGAACAACGATCGATGACATGCAAGAAAAGATGTCCGCCATGAGCACCCGAATCGAGGTGACCATGAAAGCCGTGGAGAACGTCTCGGCTAGGCAAACTAATACAGGATCCAACAAACTGAAGTTTTCCAAACCTAGACCTTTCAAAGGGAACCGGGATGCCAAAGAGTTGTAGAACTTCATCTTTGATGTCAACAGTACTTCAAAGCCACACCGGCTTGTACCGAGGACATGAAGGTGACAGTAGCCTCGATGTATCTCATAGACGATGCCAAACTTTGGTGGCATTTGAAGGTACAAGACATCGAGAATGAATTGTACACCATAGACTTGTGGGAAGACCTCAAGAGAGAGTTGAGGGACCAATTCCTCCCCGAAAATGTAGACCATCTAGCAATAGAAAAACTAATAGCCCTAAAGCAAACTGGAAGCATAAGGGACTATGTCAGACAATTTTCGACCCTGATGCTAGATATTAGGGGCACATCAGAGAAGAACAAGGTGTTCTTCTTTATAAATGGGTTACAACCATGGGCCAAAACAAAAATACACGAGAAAAAGGTCCAAGACCTAACTACCGCAATTGCCAGCGCCAGAAGACTCCTAGACTATGGGAACGAGGCGAGTTATAAAAGAAAAACAACACAGGCCCCAAACACTGGGGGCAAAACATATAAGCCGCCAGGTCATCGAAATGGAAGCCTCAACAGGCCAAACGGAGGTAACGACAGACCAAGCGGGTGGACAGATAGACCTCCTCAGAACAACCAAGCGGGGACATCTTGAGGACCTTACCCTCAAAGGAACCACCCGACAACACCTTTACAATGCATATTGTGTAAAGGCCCCCACAAAGTGTCCTACTGTCGTCATCGGGCCTCTCTCACTGCGCTCCAAGTGTCCATTCAAGAGAGCAACGACACAAGAGTTGAGACTATGCTAGACAAGAAGGAAGATCAAAACAACCCCTGAATGGGCGCGCTCAAATTCCTATCAGCTCTTCAACGGAAGGTCGAACCAAAGGAGATAATAGAGAAAGGGCTCATGTTTGTAGATGCGACAATAAACTCTCGACCGAGCAAGAGCACTTTGGTAGACTCAGGAGCGACTCACAACTTCATCGCCGATCAAGAAGCCCGAAGATTGGGACTCACCATAGGAAAGGACCCTAGAAAAATGAAAGCTGTTAACTCCGAGGCCTTACCTATTGTGGGAGTTTCCAAAAGAGTCCCCTTCAAATTAGGGACTTGGATAGGAGAGCTAAACCTTGTCGTAGTTTGCATGGACGACTTTGACGTGGTACTTGGGATGGAGTTTCTCCTAGGACACAAAGTTATTCCAATGCCACTGGTGAAATGCTTGGTGATCACCGACCGCAATCCCACAGTAATACCTGCAAGCATCAAGCAGCCAGGTAATCTTAGAATGATCTCGGCCATGCAATTTAAAAGAGGACTCGCATGAGAGGAACCTACATTTATGGCTATACCACTGATGGAAGAAGTGACTACTGAGGAAACTATCCTAGACGAAATCAAGAAGGTACTAAACAGTTACGCTGACATAATGCCAGAGAGTCTACCACAAACATTACCACCCCGTCGAGGCATTGATCACGAAATTGAACTCCTTCTCAGGGTTAAACCCCCAACGAAGAACGCATACTGAATGGCTCCCCCTGAGCTAGCCGAATTGAGGAAACAACTAAATGAGTTGTTGACGGCAGGATTCATCCGCCCGGCAAAAGCACCTTACGGAGCCCCCGTACTATTTTAGAAAAAGAAGGATGGGACGTTGCGTCTGTGCATAGATTATAGAGCCTTAAACAAGGCGACGGTGCGCAACAAGTACCCACTGCCAATAATATCCGACTTGTTCGACCAACTTCACGGGGCCAAAAACTTCACGAAGTTGGACTTACGATCAGGGTACTACCACGTACGTATCGCCGAGGGGGACGAGTCCAAGACGACATGCATGACAAGATATGGGGCCTTCGAGTTCCTGGTGATGCCTTTTTGCTTGACAAACGCCCCAGCTACGTTTTGCACGTCAATGAACCAGGTTTTCTACGAATACTTGGATCAATTCATCATAGTATACCTCGATGACATAGTTGTATACCGCACAACCCTAGAGGAACACAAGGTACACTTGAAGCTGGTATTTGACAAGCTGCGGCAGAATCAGTTGTACGTCAAGAAAGAAAAATGTGCCTTCGCACAGACATGCACCAACTTCCTCGGACATGTCATCAGTTGTGGACAGATCGAGATGGATAGCAGAAAGTCCCTACTTCCGTATCCGATGTGCAATCCTTCTTAGGATTAGCAAACTACTATAGGCGGTTCGTCGAAGGGTTTTCACGACGAGCCGCCCCCTTAACGGAGCTCCTGAAGAAAGACCACCCTTGGTCGTGGTCAAATAAATGTCAAATGACCTTTGAAGATCTGAAGACAACCATGACGAGGGGTCCTGTCCTCGGGTTAGTAGATGTTACAAAGCTATTTGAAATAGAAACAGATGCTTCCGACTTTGCCCTAGGCGGTGTCCTTATTCAAGAAGGGCACCCCATCGCTTTTGAAAGGCGAAAGTTCAATGATGCCGAACGGAGATACACTGTCTCCGAAAAAGAAATGCTGGCTGTAGTTCATTGCCAAGTTCAATGATGCCGAACGGAGATACACTGTCTCCGAAAAAGAAATGCTGGCTGTAGTTCATTGCCTACGAGTCTGGAGACAGCATCTCTTGGGATCACAGTTCATAGTGAAGACGGATAACAGCGTCATCTGCCACTTCTTCGATCAACCAAAATTGATGGCAAAACAAGCCCAGTGGAAAGAGTCGTTGGCGGAATTCGACTTCAAATTCGAACACAAGGCAGGGAAGAGTAATCAAGCAGCCGATGCACTGAGTCGGAAGGGCGAACATGCGGCCCTGAAAAAGAAATGCTGGCTGTAGTTCATTGCCTACGAGTCTGGAGACAGCATCTCTTGGGATCACAGTTCATAGTGAAGACGGATAACAGCGCCATCTGCCACTTCTTCGATCAACCAAAATTGATGGCAAAACAAGCCCAGTGGAAAGAGTCGTTGGCGGAATTCGACTTCAAATTCGAACACAAGGCAGGGAAGAGTAATCAAGCAGCCGATGCACTGAGTCGGAAGGGCGAACATGCGGCCCTGAAAAAGAAATGCTGGCTGTAGTTCATTGCCTACGAGTCTGGAGACAGCATCTCTTGGGATCACAGTTCATAGTGAAGACGGATAACAGCGTCATCTGCCACTTCTTCGATCAACCAAAATTGATGGCAAAACAAGCCCAGTGGAAAGAGTCGTTGGCGGAATTCGACTTCAAATTCGAACACAAGGCAGGGAAGAGTAATCAAGCAGCCGATGCACTGAGTCGGAAGGGCGAACATGCGGCCCTGAAAAAGAAATGCTGGCTGTAGTTCATTGCCTACGAGTCTGGAGACAGCATCTCTTGGGATCACAGTTCATAGTGAAGACGGATAACAGCGCCATCTGCCACTTCTTCGATCAACCAAAATTGATGGCAAAACAAGCCCAGTGGAAAGAGTCGTTGGCGGAATTCGACTTCAAATTCGAACACAAGGCAGGGAAGAGTAATCAAGCAGCCGATGCACTGAGTCGGAAGGGCGAACATGCGGCCCTGAAAAAGAAATGCTGGCTGTAGTTCATTGCCTACGAGTCTGGAGACAGCATCTCTTGGGATCACAGTTCATAGTGAAGACGGATAACAGCGCCATCTGCCACTTCTTCGATCAACCAAAATTGACGGCAAAACAAGCCCAGTGGCAAGAGTCGTTGGCGGAATTCAACTTCAAATTCGAACACAAGGCAGGGAAGAGTAATCAAGCAGCCGATGCACTGAGTCGGAAGGGCGAACTTCAAATTCGAACACAAGGCAGGGAAGAGTAATCAAGCAGCCGATGCACTGAGTCGGAAGGGCGAACATGCGACCCTGTGCATGTTAGCCCATATTCATTCAAGTAAGATCGATTGATAAGATAAGGAATCAATACAAGGGGAATAAGATTCGGATTACCTGGTTGATCGAATATCTCAAGGCAAGAACACTTTGTTTGAGATTCGAATCACTCCAGAAGCAAGATCGATCATGTCTAGCTTCAATGATTCTTGTTGATCAAATATCTCAAACACTTGTTTGAGATTCGAATCACTCCACAAGCAAGATTGATCATGTCGAGCTTGAATGATTCTACATGCAACCTAAACTACATAGAGTTGCAAATAAACTTAGCCATTGGCTAAAGAAAAGCCACAAATGCTTCTTTTACTATATCTTCTAAGTCTTCCTTACAAATACAACATACATGGCTTTATATAGCCTAAAAAATGAAACTACTAAAGGTATTCAAAACTTGTAACATTCCTACTTTATGGCCATAATTAGCCATTATGTAAATGTAACCGAAATTAAATAACAAGTCTTAAAATACAATAACTCTAAATTGTAACCCACCCAAAATTTACAACAATCAAACTTTATTCTTCTTCAATGTAGCATGAATTGAAACATCTTTT